GCTGCTTATCCATTTTTCTTTTGGGTTCTTAATCTTCACTGATACATAAGAGCTCTATAAACATAATTAAAATAATAGTCCTTTGACCAGCATGACCCAATTTATAACACTCAGACTAGGGGGCAGCCAGAAAGGGCCTCCTTGCCTTTCCCCTGTGGCAGGATGTATCTACCATTGTTGAAGCCATCTAGGAAAGGAGAGGATCCATTCTCCCTCCAGCTGCTCTCCTGCTAGTCCATATCCTTGGCTCTCAGCCCTTCCTTAAGCTCAGTCCTTCTTCCTTGTCTTCTGCGAAACCCTTTCTAGGTCTTCATGTTGGTCGTTCATTCAGAATGTAAGAACTTACTATGAACTAGGTTGAAGATACGAGGAGTTGCTGCCACTGAGTATGCAGCAGACAAGTAACCAAAACATAGTGTTGGACTCTGTCAGACGGAGGTGAATGCCTTGTGTGGTGGGGACACAAAGGACACTGTTGCCAGTATCTTCTGGGTAGTCAAGGAAGGTTGCATAGAGAGGGGAAGGTGCTGATTGAGTAACTATGCTTACTGATCATTTCATACAAGAGCACACATTGGTTCCTTCTTAATGTGAGTTCTGCAGGGTCCTCTTTTCTTCTCTCTATGCTTCTTGACAACTTTAACTCATTTCATGACTTTTCGTATCTAGATGCTAGAGAGCACCCAGTGCTCTAGATTCCTCTGTCCAGCTGCATACTGGGCACTTCTACTTGGGTGATGTCTCTAACATGACATGAGTGAAGCAGAACACTTTCTTTTTGCCCCCTTCGCTTCTTTTCTCATCAGTCTTTCCCATCTCAGTAAATGACACCACTGTCAACCCAGTTGCCCTGCGCTATCCCCTTCACCTCCTTTTGCTGACCCATCCTTAAGTTCCATTGTTTATCCCCACACTTTTTTTTTTTTTTTGAGTTGGAGTCTCACTCTGTCACCCAGACTGGAGTGCAGTGGCACACTCCTGACCACTGCAGCCTCGACCTACTGGGCTCCGGCAATCCTTCTGCCTCAGCCTTCCAAGTAGCTGGAACCACAGGCGCACACTACCACGCCTGGCTAATTTTTTATTTATTGTAGAGACGAGGTCTGACCAAGTTACCCGGACGGGTCTCAAACCCACGGAGTCAGGCAATCCACTCACCTTGGCCTCCCAAAGTGCTGGGATTACAGGCTGAGCCACCAAGCCCGGCCGTATCCCAACACCTTCTATCCCAGACACCTTCCTCTTCTTTCCACCACTGGTGTCAGCAGTTTCATCCAAGCCACCATCTTCTCTTATGGTTTACTATCACAATGGCCTCTTCACTGGTCTCTCTACTTTATTCATTCAACAGATATTTATGGAGCATCTTGTCTTAGTTAGACCAGGAGCCAGATATTAACCAGCAGTCACCTAAAGAAATGTGAGCTCTCACCTTTGATGAGTATTCCCAAGGGCTCAAGTTGCAGTGAGAGTCTATTACAGTACACCATGAGGTAGTAAGGAGAGGGTGGGGGACTTTCCAAAGAAGTGATGCCTGAGCTGAGACCTTAGAAGGCTTAAGAGAGACAGCAGGAGTTCTAGACAAAGGGCACATCACAAGTCCAGGTGGAAGGAGAGGGGAGCTCACAGAGGGCCTGGAAGAAGGCCAGGAGCTCAGGGAAACCTGCACTGGGTGAGAGTGGAGAGTAGAGAGGTGCGGAGTCAGGCCTCAAGGGCCACCCTGTAGGTCATGGCAGTGCTTTTACCACAAAAGCAGTGAGAGCCATTGAAGGTTTTCAGTAAAGGACTGTTAATTGCCCTCTTCCCACTTGCTTGCTGCCTTCCCAGCATTTGTCTACTTAATTTTCTTTCAAATGTCTACCTCTTCAGATTTCCTCCAACACTCTGTTCCTGCCTCTAAACTGATGACCTTAGTTCACACTTAATGGAGAAAACAAGCAATAATCATATGAGAAACACCTTCTCTTCCCATGACCCACCTCACTCCCTCCATGTGCTGGTGAATTCGAAAGAAGCACCCTTTCTCCCATGCCTTATGTCCTGGGTCCCCTTCCCAACACCTGCTCCAGGACCTTCCTCTGCTGTCTTCCCGCTCCTGTCATCCGCAGCTCCCTCTGTTGGATCATTCCCATCAACTTGCAAACATGCCTGTGCCCACCTCAGGAAAACCTGCCCTCCCCTCACATCTCCCTGCAGGTGCTGCCTCATTTCTCTGCTTGTCTTGTAGTCGAACCTTGCAGAGAAATTGTTCATTCTCATTGTCTTTACTTTCTCAACTCATCCCACTAAAAAAACTAACCACAAGCCACATGTGGTCACTGAGCACTTGAGCTGTGGCCAGATTGCCGAAGCACTGAATTATCCATTGTATTTAATTTTAACTAATTTTAATTCAATAGCCCCATGGGGCTAGTGGCTACCCTATTGGACAGTACAGCTCTAAAGGAATCCAGTTGTGTAATTAACAAACTTTATCAAATATATGTATATAATAGACATCATTCGTATATAAAACTTTGTGCTTATGAGTTTATATCTTGGCCGGGCTCAGTGGCTCAGCCTGTAATCCCAGCACTTTGGGAGGCCGAGGCAAGTTGATTGCCTGAGCCGGCGGGTTCGAGACCCAGTCAGACAACTTGGTGAGACCTTGTCTCTACAATAAATCAAAAATTAGCCAGGCATGGTAGCGCACGTCTGTAGTTCCGGCTACTTGGAAGGCTGGAGTATTCGGCAGTTTTTTATCAGAAGTGGCATGACTGCCATGCCTCACCTTCCCTATTTATCTAACCTCGCCACTAGCAACTTTTTTTGTTTGCCTGATGAAAGAAGGCCTCAAAGGGAAGTATTTTTTGCCAGTGTAGAAGAGGTGAAACAAAAAATGGCAGAAGCACTAAAACACATTAAAAATTGATGAGTTCAAAAGCAGTTTTAAGCAGTGGAAAAAGCGTCTCAATAAGTCCTGTGTTTTTTTGGGTCCCCCCGACCCTTATGTGCAGTTGGATTTTCTAAAGCTGTGTTCCCAGCCAGGAGATTAGGATCTGGTTGAAAGTGAGGACTCTTGGCACCTTGTCTGGTAGATTTCCAAGCTGTTTTGCTCCATCATGATCTTTCTGTGTTTGTGGAAATTTCCAGCCAGGAGCGGTGGGGGCCACCTCCCTGCTCCCCCTGGGCACTTCATGGTCAGGAGAGGAGAGCTCATGGCCCTAAGATTCATTCCTCATCCTCACAGCCGTCTCAAGCTCGCAAGACTGCCAGGAATCGAAAGATAACTCCCCTAAGAAAAGCCTGGTTCCTCTGGCCTGAGGCAGACCTTGACATGCTGACCTCTCCAGGTTAAGCCTCTTGAGCTAATCAGGAAGTGAATGAGGAATGGAATTGAGTACTTGAAAAATCAGACAGTATTATTAGATAGCAATGATTCACGAGGAAGAAAGCTATTGCCTTCTCATTTCTGCTTAAGAAGAAAGTCCAAGTTTGGTGCCAATATTTTTTTAAACCACCTTTAATACTTCCTAATCTTCCTTTATAGTAGGACAGGCCCAGAGCCTTTTCAGGTAAGAGAATCTAGTTAGAATTTAATAACATGATTTTATCATATTGAGTTTTATAGCCACCTTCAATTTGTAGCAAGTGATACTGGTTTTTCATTCATAGTGGCAATTTGAAGTTTCCTTTTTAAATGTGTTTACATTTTTATCTTTTTTTTCCATACCTACAGGTGTCTACATTTTCAAAAGAGTATATCTGTTTATTTTTTAATCCTGTGCACTCAAAGACGTCTCACAGATCACCTACCAGCAATTCGACCATACTTTGTTTATCAAATAGCGAAAAACGAATCACTTCATATTAAATAGCATAGCGTTGGAACCAATTATTGTATTGTAATGATATTTGGCTTATAATGGCATTTTGGACGTTGAGGAACTTATTTATGACAAAATTTATCAAAATTTTGTATCGTATATTTTTCTAATGTGCGGTGACAATTTGCCTTCAACTTTGAAAGTTGCTCTCTTTTAAGGCTACAGTGACTTGCTTATCTGTTTTCTCAAGTGATGCCATATGATACAAAGGGTATACCCACAGCTGCCTTTCTTATACAACAAACAATCTTTATCGCTACCTTCTGCTACAAAGATGTGTCGGCACCACTGTGAAAGCTCTTCACACATTCTCTTCCTGTCTAACACCAGCTGATGTTTTTTACATGTATTTCAGTATGTATTCCATTTCTTTATTTGCTTTTCAGTGCAATTTGAATGGAAAACTTCAAGGAAACATATATTTCTTAAAAACTTGCTCTGGCAAAAGTTTACCCTGTCCTCCAGTCTCTTTATGTCCCCTGAGAGGGGATATTCGAGTAGTTTGCTAGATTTATGATGTCCCTTCAGAGGGGACATCAGTGTGCAAAGGGTTAATTTTTTTAGAGACACAGTCTCCCTGTGTCACAGGCTGGAGCGCAGTGGCATGATCATAACTGTCTACAACCCTGAACTCCTGGGTTCAAACAGTTCTCCTGCCTTAGCTTCCCAAGGAGCTAAAATTACAGGCACAAGCCACTATGCCTGGCTAGTTTTTTGTTTTGTCTTGTTTTTTAATTTTTAGAGTCAGTGTCTTGCTATGTTGTTGCCTTGGATCTCACTATGTTGCTAGTCTCAAACTCTTAGCCTCAAGCAATCCTCCTTGCCTCAGCCTCTCAAGTTATTGGGATTACAAACATGAGCCACTGTACCCAGCTCTAAAGAGTCAATTCAGAGGAAAATATTAAGTAATAGTTATTATTTGTTATGTGACAGTCCAAGTGCTATCTGCATTTACATAAATCATGTAATTCATGAATGCCCAAAATCTGGGAAACTCTGCCTTAGAAACAGAGCTGTCGAGATGGACAGGTCCACGTTTGCAAGACTGGCCACAACTTAAGCAAAATTAGCCCTCCCCTGGAACAACTGTCGAGGTCTGGTGCTTATCTTTATTCCCTGCTTCTCATCCTGAAGGTTTGTTTACCAAGCAAAAGTTGGGGGTCGCTGGTTCCCCGCCGTCTGCGCACACAGCAAGAAGCAAGGCAAGCAGGAAGCAGCAGATGCAGCTCTCCGTGTATTGATTGGGGAAAATGAGAAGGCAGAACGCATGGGTTTCACAGAGGTAACCCCAGTGACAGGGGCCAGTCTCAGAAGAACTATGCTCCTCCTCTCAAGGTCCCCAGATGCACAGCCAAAGACAGTTAAGACGTCTACTTTTGGTGTTCTCTTTTTGGGGGGGGGTCCCACTAACTCCTCTCTAGGTGGAGTCGCCGCTAACTTGCTGTCATGTGAGTTATTCCTGGGCTTTCCCTGTAGCCTCAGTAGTGCATGCAACTGGGAGACTAGATGTGAGGGGAAGAGATGACTCTCACGTCAAGTAGAACTTGATCTCCCTGCCCACTGGGAGTATGGTGGGCGCGGCCTTGACTTTGCGGTCCTGACACAACCTCTCATCCCCACAGCTTCCTCTCACTGGCAGCACCTTCCACGACCAGATAGCCATGCTGAGCCACCGGTGCTTCAACACCCTCACCAACAGCTTCCAGCCATCCTTGCTTGGCCGCAAGATCCTGGCCGCCATCGTCATGAAGAAAGACTCCGAGGACATGGGTGTCGTCATCAGCTTGGGGACAGGTGAGTGAGGCTCTGAGACCTGCCCATCCAGCCATGTACCTCCCATCTGTGCCTGGGCGCGGGTCCTTCTCATCCTTCCCTGGAGTCTGTGTAAGTCCAAGGCAGAGAGAAACGATATTTCGTTTCAGCTATGGTCAATTCAGAGTGAGAATGAGTTTTTAAGTGAATATGGGAAACAAGGATCTGATAAAGTGAGGCTCTTTCTACCTTCGAGCTTTAAGAACATACAACTTTTACCCTATTCATCATCATTTTCCTTCGATTATTCCACTTTTGTTTTAAACACCTTCCTAGGGAATCGCTGTGTGAAAGGAGATTCTCTCAGCCTAAAGGGGGAAACCGTGAATGACTGCCATGCAGAAATCATCTCCCGGAGAGGTTTCATCAGGTGAGTGACCAGAGTGAACTGATGGCCCCTTTGGAGAACACCATGTCTCTGCTCCAGCTGTGCTGCCCTCAGGGCACTGTGGCTCTGCTACGGCCTCCCATCTGACAGGCAGGTCACAGATGCGGCAGTGGCAGCCTTGGCTTTCAGCGCATCCACGTGAACCTGGCTTAGGGAATCGATCCCTCAGTGACCTGGGCTGCATTCCACTACTTAGCCTGTTTTAAGTGCTGTCCTTTTTTTTCCTGCTAACTCTGCTGCTTTTATGTCCCTTTTTAAAAACACGAATGACCTTGTAGTCCTCAGGGCCTTGGGGATGAGGCAGCCTTTCGTCTCCATTTGAGGACCTGTGCGCACCTTGCTGGTCCTGCCAGCTTCTCCTCTACTTCACCTTTTCTTTAATTTATGAAGGGAGAGATGGGGGAGAAGCAACAACCTCCTGTAGTCCTTGAATCAATTTGTTCTGCCCTAGAATCGCTTTAGCCGCCATAGCAAGGAGCCCTTGACAGAAGCGAAACTGACCCGAAAGGCTAACTTTGCTTTATGAAAGGCTGAGATCTCCCATGGAGAATTTCCCACCATCTCCTTCCACCTGAGGAGCTGTGAAAGGTCCACAGCATGAAGGCTTTTTCTTACTCGGGGCTCCGATGGAGATCAGCTGACAGAACAGCTGCTCTTCTCAGAACTGAACCATCTTCCTAACCAGACCTTTTCTTTGTAGGTTTCTCTACAGCGAGTTAATGAAATACAACCCCCAGACTGCAAAAGACAGTATATTTGAGCCTGCTAAGGGAGGAGAAAAGCTCCAAATAAAAAAGACTGTGTCGTTCCACCTCTACATCAGGTCTGTACAGTCCCCGAGGCTGCCGGGTAGACCCTGCCAGGCTCCAGGATGGGGCGTCGGAAGCTCCCTTGGCCACAAGTCAGACCTTGCACAATAAGCCCCCTCCACTCTGGGTTGAGGTACATTCCCTGGTGCAGAATGACCCTCACATGCACTGCTACCCACTCACAGTCCCATGGTAGCCTCAGAAAATATGCTCTGCTTGGGCCACATCTGGCTGGTGTTGAGCCCCAGAACATTGAAGAGACACTTGCACAGGTGAGTTTTAACAGATGCCCATTTTGCAGCACTGCTCCATGCGGGGATGGTGCCCTCTTTGACAAGTCCTGCAGCGACCATGCTATGGAAAGCACAGATTCCCGCCACTACCCTGTCTTTGAGAATCCTAAACAAGGCAAGCTCCGCACCAAGGTAGAGAATGGTGAGTGACACATGCCCTCCCACCTTCCCACAAAGGCTGTGCGAGGCCCTGGGAGCCCAGGTCTTGGCAGAACTGCCAGGCTTTTGCCGTTGGTCAGTCACTCGCACTGAGGTGTTGTTCACAAGACAGGAAAGGTCTGGATGTGGATGGGATGGCTTGTAGAAGGATCAAGATTCCATTGTGAGTATTGGTTAGGTAGCCCGTAGCCCTGGGACATCTAGAGCTCTGTGGAGCACCTGACTGGCGGTAAGAATATGGGGTCGTCCTCCCGTGGGGTTTTCACAGCTGTGGGAATGTAGGATCGCCTTGAGAGAGGTCAGAGGAGAGGAAAGAAAGTGGTGCAGAGCCAAGCCCTGAGGAACTGACAGGTGAGGACACTCAGTCCAAGGGTCCCCTCCAGCCTGGTTGTCTACTGATTCTCTTCCTTGTCCCTGGCTCCCCTCCTGTCCTCTACTGTCTCCTTATGGCCTCCTCATATCCATGCCTGCAGACCACAGCAGTCATCAGAGTGGTCCTGAGTCCCTGCCAAGTACCCTAGAATCTAAGCAGAATTACCACCTGACCCCCACCTCACTCCTAGATGCTCAAGAGAAAGGAAGATGTGTGCACGTAGAAACTAGAACATGCATGTTCATGGCAGCAGCGTTCATAATAGCTAGAAAAAGTGGAAACAACCCAGCGTCCATCAGCTGATGACTGGATAAATCAAATGTTGTGTATCCTTATAATGATGTGATAGTGTCTGGCCATAAAAACAGTGAAGTACTGATGGTTGCTCACAACATGGATGAGCTTGAAAGCATCATGGGAAATGAAAAAAGCCAGTCATAAAAGATCACAGATTGCATTATTCCATTTATATGGAATGTCCAGAATAGACAAATCCATAGAGACAAAGTGGATTCGTGGTTGTCAGGGCCGGGGGTGGAAGAGTTGGAGGGAGATGAGGAGCGACTGCCAGTGGGTAGAAGGCTTCTTTCTGGATTGATGGAATGTTCTAAAATTGACTGTGACGATAGTTGCAGAACTCTGAAAACAACTGAGTTGTGTGCTTTGAATGGGTGGATTGTATGATGCGTGCATTATATCTCAATAAAGCTGTTATTTTTCTAAAGCAACCCTATAGTAGTTTCCCACCATATTCATATAAAAGCAAGACCTGCTGTGGTCTTTCAGCCGTGAGCTGTCCCTCTCCCCCTCCCTCACATAGGCTGTGGTCACAACAGACCTTTTGCAACTCCCTGACCAAACTCCTCGCTGCCTCGGGGCCTTTGCTCTGTTATTCTGTGCGTCTGAAACACTCCTAACTCCTGCTATTCCTTCTCCTGTCTCAGCTCCCCAACCCTCCTGTCCCAGGAGGCTTCGCTGCCATCCCTCATCACAGATTCCCCCAAAGCCTTCAGAGCGCCATTAGCAGCTAGAGCTCTTGTGGCTACTGGTTTACTTATTTAGTGTCTGTCCTGTTCCCTTTCTGTCCTCTTACCTCCACAAACATGGCAGGAGGACCAGGATCTTATTTGGCGTCCCGGCACCAAGCACAATGCCTGGCACAGAGCAGGTGCTGTGAAACATATGAAGAATGAATGAATGAGTAGCTTGTGCCTGGGCCTGAGGAGCATCAGTGCTGCACCAAGGAGTGGTTTGGCCCAGTGGCCCCATGGGTCTGACCCAAGTCTCTCACATAGGGGAAGGCACAATCCCTGTGGAGTCCAGTGACATTATGCCTACGTGGGATGGCATTCGGCTCGGGGAGAGACTCCGTACCATGTCCTGTAGTGACAAAATCCTACGCTGGAACGTGCTGGGCCTGCAAGGCGCACTGTTGACCCACTTCCTGCAGCCCATTTATCTCAAGTCTGTCACACTGGGTAAGGGACCTGCCTTGGGTCTGGAACTGGTCTGTCCTTGTGCCCACATCTCAGCAAACTATATATGCTCCGTTGCCAGGTATTGACAGTGACGTCTCTCTTTCCAAAGTGAGCTTGATACGGCATCAGTAGTTGATTCTGGGCATACTGGGTTGGAAGGCCGGCCTAGGCAGTAACCCTGAGTCAAGACACACTGGGCTAGTCTCTTCAAGATGAGTTAAAGAAGCATAGCCACTGAGAACTGCAGTGTCTTCATCTCCTTATTTTCCACAGTCCTTGGCCTTGCTGGACTCTTGTGTATTGTGCTTCAATATCCAAAGGTCCCATGTATGTCCTGGGTAGCCACAGTTAGAAGGTGCTTCCCAACAAGGCAGCTCTTTCTGCCTGGACTACTCTATTTTGTATCTCCAGATCCCCGTGTGCCTCTGCCTCTCAACTGCATTTGGTGCAAACACAGGCGTGTCCATTTCTTTTTTTGTACCCAGGTTACCTTTTCAGCCAAGGCCACCTGACCCGTGCTATTTGCTGTCGTGTGACAAGAGATGGGAGTGCATTTGAGGATGGACTACGCCCTCCCTTTATTGTCAACCATCCCAAGGTGCTAAAATCCCCTTCGATTTTCCCTTGACGTTTTTCTCCTTTTCAAGCAAGCCCGAAGGCAGAGCAAACCTGTACATGGTAGGCAAGGGCAACCTTTGCTGGTGTCCCAAGAATTTTCTCCTTTGGAGACAAGGGCCTTCTTCTTGTCTCAGTCTGGAGTTAATTTGAAATTGAGTAGAGTTCGTATCTCTATAGTCTGCTCAGTCCCAGCTAGACAGAATCCTAAGAAAAGGGGAAATATCATGGCCCCACACTCCCATTGCCTCTCTCCTGTGAATCTCGAGTCCCTGCTTCAAGATCTGACCCATGAAAGGTTTCCATCTTTTCTCCCGCTTCTGGGATCCTAGGTTGGCCGGGTCAGTGTATATGATTCCAAAAGGCAGTCCGGGAAGACTAAGGAAACGAGCGTCAACTGGTGTCTGGCTGACGGCTACGACCTGGAGATATTGGATGGGACCAGAGGCACCGTGGACGGGTACGGCGATGGGAGAGGGCAGCGAAAGCCAAGCCAATGTTGCACTTTAGCCAACTGGTGGTGGGCAGGACAGGGAGAGCTGCTTCTCTGTGAGTGTGTTCCCTCCCCAGGCAGCTGGGATGGCTAGACTCAGCCAGGCTGGGCTTAGGGAGTTGCCCAAGAAATAGAGGTTCCCCCACGCCTGCCGGTCTCAGAGTGCTCCCTACCCCTCCGTGGTTTCTCCACCCTGGGCTTCCCAACTCTCCTGGTCGCAGGTGAATAATGAGTGCTTTTGTTTCTCCAGGCCACGGAATGAACTGTCTCGGGTCTCCAAAAAGAACATTTTTCTTCTGTTTAAGAAGCTCTGCTCCTTCCGTTACCGCAGGGATCTACTGAGACTCTCCTATGGTGAGGCCAAGAAGGCTGCCCGTGACTACGAGACGGCCAAGAACTACTTCAAAAAAGGCCTGAAGGATATGGGATATGGGAACTGGATAAGCAAACCCCAAGAGGAAAAGAACTTTTATCTCTGCCCGGTATAGTGTGATCCAGTGCCAGGTGGATTGGGGTGTCTCACTGGGGTGAGATGTAGGTTGTAGCATTCTTCATCACATGGGCAAGGGATTTTCTTCTCTTTCTTTTTCTTTTTTTTAAACCATAACTGGTACAGAAAACATTGGGTGCCATTTATCCTGCTTTCTTTGGGATTGCTAGGCAGGGTCTGGCCAGGCCCCCTTCTCTTTTCTCAAGTGAAGAGGCAGAGACCTAAGGGGAGAGAAAAGGGGTTCTCTTATCTTTCACCCAAAGCATAAGCAGTCACCGAGCACCTCGGGCCCACTTCCTCTTCAGTATTGTTTTGTTTTTTCCCATTTCCTTTCCCTTTGTGTTTGCTACACTGACCTCTTGTGGTCTTGATTAGGGTTCAGCCAACTCTCTGTAGATCATGTCAGGGACTGATGATTTCATTTGTGGATTCTATAGGCCCCTCTGCTTCCCCTTTTCCCCTTCTGAGATTTTCTTCCTTATGATCAGAATTTCTCCTTTTCCTCTAAAAGGGTAAGGAGGTGAACTTAAAGAATTTGGGGAAACGTGTACGGGACAGGAGTTTAACACCATAGTCCATCAGTCATCAGTGCCAACAGAAATGTGATCAGAATCTGCAAATACTGCTCAGTGATCTTCCCATGTTGCACTTTAGCCAGCTGAAAGGGGGCAGGGCAGGGAGAGATGCTTCTCTGCAAATGCATCCCCTCCTCAGGGAGCCAGGACGGCTAGACTCAGCCAGGCTGGACTTAGGGAGTTGCCCAAGAAATAGCTGAGGTTCCCCCTGCAGGGTGACAGGCATTCCTTGGAGTCCTGCCAAACTCCCAGCCACCCTTCTCCTAAAGCATTCCCAGGAATTTGACCTGCCAGTGTGGAGTTTAGGGCCATAGACCCCAGCGAACTGATGGGAAAAAATCCAGGACACATCCTAGAGGGTCAAGTGATCTCTGCTCAGATAATCAGGACTTAGCCAGGATGAGGGCAAAATATGTTGGGTCAGATCACCCTTCCTCTGGCTTAACATGCCAGTGACACCAAGGGAAGTTGACCAAGTCATATGTAAATTAGGAGTTTGTAAAAGAATGCCATAGATGTTGATTGTTAACTGCTATGGATAACCTGTAATTGAGCAGATTGAAAATTCAGACTACTTTTCCATTTATCCAACTGCTTTCATGTTGCCAGCTGGCTTCAGAGGTCGATGCATGGGTGGGGCCAGACCAGATCCTTTCAAGGGTGACACCCAGCAAGGTAGTAGCTGTAGATGAGAGGGCAGGTTGGCGTAGGACTGTGAGGTGGAATCATGTGTGTACACCTCCACCCGACTCGTGTGGTCAGCACCTTTGACCTCTGCAGAGTCTGGCTCCAGGCCAGGTCAGTAGATGCCCCAAAGGCTTCACTGCTGCAGGATCAAGCCTGCCTCTTCGCGTTGGATGATGAGTCTTTGCCTAGGAGCACGCGGGGCCGCCCTCAGACAAGTTTCTGCTGCCCCCAACTGCTGACTCGTTCACCTCTGCCTGGCCCACCCCTCAACAGCAGATGCAGCCACATTCGCACTTTTATTCTTGGGCTACTCTGCCCTCTATACTTCTGACCAAAAATTGACAGAGATAAGAAAACCCAAGTTTTAAAAATAGACTAAGGATGTCTTTGCAGAGCACCAAAGCGTCTCAAGGACCTGGTTGGGAAATGGGGCTTGTCTTCTGGGGTGGAAGGGCCCTGCTCCCTGGCCCTGAGTCTGCTGAGGGCACAGTAAATCAGTCTTGGCACCACATCTAGGACAGAGCGAGCTGTGGTTCCAGCCACTGGAGGAAGCACATCCCCTCAGCTCTTCAGGCTGGGGGTTCTCACCTGCGGGTTCCTCAGAGTGTGTGGCCCCTCCGGTCTGTCTTGGGCACTGGCATCTCAGGAGAGCTCTGGCCAGCTGCCCTTCTCTAGCAGGAAGCACAGGGGCTCCCAAAAGAGCAGAGCCCACTTGCCCTGAGGAGCCTACCTAACAAGCCTGCAGGGCTTGGTTTCTGCGGTAGGAAGAGAACTAGGCCTCCCTGAATTCCACCTTCTACTGAAATGAGCCATGGCAGCCCCGTCCCCACAGCCCGATGCCCCTCTGAGTCACGTGGAGCAGAGGGAGCAGAGCTTCCACCCACTGTTCTCTTCACTTTTTTGTCCAAACTTGTTTTCAATAAGCAGAACCCCTCCCCCTTTCCTTTAAATGATTTTTGTAGTTGATTTGTCTGAACTGTGGCTATTGTGCATTCTTTGAATAATCACTTGTAAAAATTGTCAATGCTTGAAGCTATTTCCTTTACTCATGTTGAAGGGACTTTGTTGGTTTTTGGGGTCTAGGTTGTGACTCCAAGAGCAGAGTGGGGAAGAGCCCAGGCATAGACTTGGGAGCCACGATGGCTGCAGTCCAGTTTTACAATTCTGCTTTTCTGTGTCCCTTGATAACCGTGACTAACAGTATACATTCCTCATAAATAAAAAAGAAGAATCTGAATTGTTAGCAAGCTTTAAGTCCTGGTTTCTCTGGGGAAGGTGAAAGTGGGCACAGAGGAAACTGTGGTCCTGGGATTTCTGGTAACAACACCAGCTGCATCTGACACAACCTGGGGACAGGGCACCCAGAAAGCAGCCATTTCAGAGGAGCTCACTGTGCAGGGGACCCTGCCTCTGGGTGGGGTGGGGCCACCTCAGGCATCTCTTGCTTCCCCAACTCCTCACTGAACCCCACTGTTAAATATCTTGTCCCAAGATATTTCAAGGCCCAGAGAAGGAAAACAGCCCTTGAGACAGCATTACCAATGACACACACAGTCCCAACTTTTTTGGATGTTTCTCTACCTTTCCCCAACCCTGCTACACCCAGCTCCTTGGTCTGCAGGGATGATGTGCATCTCTGGAGTGAAGTTGCAGCCGGGACCAGGGCAGGCTTGACTGCAGTCTAAGGAGACAGGCCATTTCCTTTTCACTTCATAGCTGATATCCAAAATGTCTCTCCTTCTTGAATTTCAAGGAGTTTCACATGGTAACTTACTCCAGAATTTCTAGAAGATTCAGCCTCGACCTTTTAAAAATACACCAGAGGACACAGAGTACCTAACAGCGAAGCTAAGTCACTGTGACCCCTTCTTCGTCCAGCTGAGGCCAGGAGAGCTGGCAACACGTTTGGGGCCTATCACATCAGGACTGGAAATCCATACAGTGTCGTGCACAGTTCGCTGAAAGACTGTGCCGACTGCAGCCTTGACCTCGCAGAGTGTGGGGGGTCGTAGAGGAACTTCTGCCCTGCCCCCCTTCCCCCACCATCCCTGCCTCAAGGAGACTGGTCCTCACTCCTGCCCAGTCTTTAACAGAGGGTACTTCCCAGGGCCTGTTTCTGGATGCTGTCCACTGCAGGCCCAGCCGTTTGGCCATTCTCTTCCATCTGATGAGTGGGTGTGCACGACAGCGGGTAACAGAACCACAGCAGACCATTCCACTCACCTTTTCTTTGGGTTCCTGTCATGTCTTTCACCTCTCATAAGCTGTTTCTCCAGCATGCTCCCTTTTTCCTGTATTGGCTACCCATGGCCCATGAGGGCTCTCCCCACCCCCCAAATAGAACAGTGACAAGACCACTTTGGAAACAACTTTCTTTACGAGACTCTTGAGTTCCAAATGAGTCTGGCCTGAGGTGGGCTAGACCAGTGCAAATATTCCAGGCGTGCAGACAGAGGAGGCCAAGGGCAGTGTTGAGGAAACAGGACAGCCAAGGGGGGGTGCATGAGGTATCCTAATGATTCCTGGACCTACCGTCCCTGGGAACCACGTGACTATCACACTGACCTCTTAGAGCTGTTGGATGAGTATTAGAAGGTGACTGCTTGTTTGTCTAGTCAGGGTCGGTGAGTGGGAGTCTGGCCAGCACCAGCCGGTCTGTGAGGGATGCTATGACACCAGCCCAATCCTGTCCAGAAACAGAGTGACAGCTGGGACCAAGTCCACTCTGGCTTTGGGAGTGATTCAGAGAAGGCCCTGAATGCCCACACTCTCCTCCCAAGGAGCCCCTCTCCTGTATGCCTCAAAGGCTATAACCAGAGCGTGGACTTGGGGGCATTCTTGGGCTTCAGGCCCAGCACTCCTCAGCAGCTGTCATTGGGTCTCTCAAAGCCTCGTTTCTCTTCTGAAAAACGGGGGCTCCTTCCCTATAGGACTGTTGTGAGAAATAGACACTGCACCCCAAGGAGCTGGCATGGCAGACCCTCAGTAAACAGTAGCTAATACTGAGATTTAGGGGGACAAAGAGGCCAGAGCCCCCAAATCATCCAAAAAGTGTTCCCTACTTCCTGTTCTCTATTCCAAGATCACTGGGGGAAACAAGCTTGCCCTTCCTCCATGGATTGCCTTCTTTGGCCCAACACGCCAGCTGAGGGCTGCTGTGTCTTGTTTGCTTTTAAATCTTCAATAACTTGGTACCAGCTGTTTCAGTATTAGTGCCTCATTGCCAGAAGCCTTCCTCCCACTGCAGCACCAACTGTCAAGAGCAGAGAGCCTGTGCGTGCCTTCTTTTCAGACAAAAATAGGAATCAGATCACCTGCAGCCCTGACGTCCTGAGGGAGAGCATCCCAGCTCGTCTCTCACTTCTGCCCTCCAGGCCCACCATGCTTGAGGTTTCCATCCCATTTTTCTCCTCCCTCTTCAGACCTGGAGTCTCCTTCAGTCCTGGGCCAGCACTGAGCTTGGTACCTGAGTCCTCTGAGACAGCCCCACCATGGAAAGTAGGCAAAGGGCTTCCCTGACACCACCAAGGGAAGAACACAGGACCTGAGAGCAGAAAAGTCTGTGGTTCCTAAAAGCTTCCCAGGGCCTTGAAGGCTCAGACTGTCCTGAGGCATGGCGACACCTTGCCCATGCAGTGGAGTCCTCCTTCCTCCACCTCTACCCTTCTCCCTACTGCAATGGTCCCCAAAGAGCCACACCCAGAGATGGAGGAGATGGCACTGCCCAGGTCACCTGCACTGGCACCATTTGTGACTTACTTGGACAACAGCCACTTGGGGGAAGTAGTAAAAGCAAGTGCAGCCATAGCAACAGCTGAGAAGCCTTCCGGTAACCCAGGCCCTCACAGCTGGGAGGGAGGGTCCCTCTCCTGTCCCTGTTTCAGGCTCCAGGACACTCCCCAGGGCTGTGAGTTTGAGAAGGGCTCAAGCATAACACAGGCAACTCTCAATTTTCTCCTCTAGGGGAGGGGACATCTCCATGGTGCAGCCACTCCCCCTGCTACCACAAAGAGCTGTCTGGGAGCTGTCCTGATAGATGGGGACATGCCTTGGGCACCGCTCACATGGCTGCTGACCAAACAGTCCCTGTTCTTCCACAGCCCACAAGGATCAGCTCAGTCAGGGTCCCTGAGCTCATGCCTATGTTGGGAGAAGCTGACCCCTAAGGGAGGTAGGGCCAGGGCTCAGCCCGGGAATGGAATGAATGAAACTACTGAGAGGCTCCAGAGAGAAGCCTACCCACCCATGGACTCACTTGCACATTCCCTGTACTATTCCTCACCAGTTGCATCCTCCAGCCCCCAGGTCCAGGCTCTAACAGGGGAGACTTGGTTTCTTCAGGAAAGAGAGAGGGCAAGCCTGGGAGGGAGGCCGGTAAAACAGTCTGGTGACCGCATTCCCAATGGTTCAGACTGCCTCTCAGATGCGACATCACGAGGTGTCTACTCCATGCCAGGCATGGGTGGTACGAGGCTTTTCACAGGCATCACTCCATCCTCACAGCAACCCCATCAAGAGGGTATCACTATCGCTATTTTATAGACAGGAAAGCTGAGGCCTAACAAGGCAAAGGGACTTGTTCCAGGTGGCTCAGTGAGTGGCAGAGCCAGGGCTAGAACCCTAACTCTGGGGTCCCCATCCAGTGGTGTCTCCTCCCACCTCCACTATTCTTGGAGAAGCAGGAGTCCCAGCTGGGCTCCAGGAACAAAATGGCTTGAGTCGGGCCAGGTCCCTCAGGTGCGCTTGGCAGACCTACTCCTCTAACCTGCCCTCTGCTGGACCAGCATCGAGCACGGACTGGGACCACGGATCAGAGCCAGTCACATGGCGAGGATGGCAGCAGGGCGGAGGTCCCCTATGAGGCCTGTCTCCTGGGCTAGCAGGTACCTCCTGGTGGCCCTGGGAGCAGTGTCAGTATACAGCCTCCAGCGATGCCCAGGATGGAATGCAGAAGCTATGCTTTCTGGGGGAGCCACTGGCGACAGCCAGTCTGCCCTTCCAAAGTTCTGCTTCAAGCCTGATGGGGTTCCGTTGGGGGAAGAGGAGTGAGAACCAGAAAGAAGGAGTCATGAACAGGTTTGGAGTGACGAGGATGTGACAAGGATGTTGCAGTTCCGTGACCCCAGAGGGGTCGGCTGGCTTCCACAGCCAGCTCCTTCCTGGCTTCCACGACCAGCTCCCTCCTGCCTGCAAAGCTCTGCTGTGGGCAAAAAGTTGGCTCTGCTTAAGCAAACATCCTTAGTGCAGTTCCTTCCAGTCACCAGTCAGTTCAAAGTGGGGACAAAACAGGGCACCGGACAATGGCGCTCAGGGCAGGGAGGAAAAGTCAGAGACCCACCCGGCTTGGCTGGCCTCCTGGGACTGTTTCTTCATCTGGAACATGACTCGTGTTGGAATCCACTGCAAGGTTCTCACAGCTGCGAAAGCCGGTGAACTTGACTTCTCATATAGTTCAAGGACCTGGACCTCAGACTCTGAGTAGGTCACCCCAAGATTCAGAACTCAGAGGCTCCCCTAACTCCCAGCCTTGCCCACCACTCCCTGAGCCCTCGTGAAAGAGGAAGGAGAAGGAAGTCTAGAGGGGGCGGAGAACCCTTCGTGGGGTAGAGGGGAGCTGACACCAAGCTCCGAACCCCTTAGAAGCAAGAGGCTATGGGGCTGAACTGAAAGCGCCCCAGGGGTCCGTGACCACAAGGCAGGAGCCGCTGACCACTGTGACCACTCAGCCCAGCTGCTGTCCACTCAAGCAGAGGCAGGTATCAGGTCACACTCCGGCCTCTCTCCCCGGTCCCCTCTCTTCTGAGCTACCACTGAGTCAGGCCAGCCCAGCCCAGGGTCTGACTCCTGTTCCTCCACCCCTCCCCCCATGCTCCTCTCCTCCCACAGCTTGGAGGTAGCAGTCGCTTCTGTCCCCTTCTCGGCCCCCTGCCCGTCACTCTTTGCTCAGGGCTCTGTCATCTTCCATCCTCCACCATCAGCAAGGCCACCCGGGCTGGCACAAGAGGAGAAGGCGGGTGCAGCAGGTCCAGCCTCAGGCTGGGGCTGGCTGTGTGCGGAGGTAGGGGGAGGAGGCGCCGATGAGGTGAAAGGATGGCTCTGCGGGGCAGTGCCCTCTCCCGGGTTGCTCACTTGTCCGTCCTCCATCCAGCACATCGGTGCAGCAGAGGGCAGGGGTGACGGAGGGTGGAGACGGGGGAGGCCTCACTTGGAGCTGGGAGCCGAGTGGTCCGGGTGGAGGAAGGTGGTGGCAGTGTAGTTCTGGAAGAGCGGCTGCAGGAACATGCCGATGGTGCCGAAGACGCAGACAAAGACGAAGATCCAGAGGAACAGGCGGTCGATCACCATGGCCACGTACTTCCAGTCCTCACTCACCTGGTGGAGGAGGCAAAGGAGGCCCAGGCGTCAGTGATGCAGGAAGGCGTGGAATGAGTATATGCAGGTCCCACCACCCACAACCATGCACACGCGCATGCACTCATGCACACAGGCACGCACACACACCCTCTCCGGTCCCAGAGTGATCTTTCTTTTCTTAGATTAGAGAACATAGTTCATTTAGAAAGTAAATTAGAAGCTGGGCACAGTGACTCAAGCCTCTAATCCCAGCACTTTGGGAGGCCGGGTGAGAGGATTGCCTGAGTCCAGGGGTTTGAGACCAGCCCGGGCAACTTGGTGAGACCTCGTCTCTACAATAAATCAAAAAATTAGCCGGGTGTGGTGGCACATGCCTGCAGTTCTAGCTACTTGGAAGGCTGAGGTGGAAGGATTGCCTGAGCCCAGCAGGTCGAGGCTGCAGTGGCCATGAGTGTACCATTGCACTTCAGTCTGGGTGACAGAGTGAGACTCCAACTCAAAAAAAAAAAAAAAGAAAGTAAGTAAATTAGAGAGCGAGAAGGAGGAGATTAATCTCCCCAAGGTAGGGGAGGCGTGCCAAAGCTGGGAAACATGGCCTGGTCATAGCTCAAAGAGCACATGGCCACACCACAGCTTAGCAAGGTAGTGGCTCCAGAGTGACCTTTCTAAAGCACTGCTCTGATCGTGCCTGCCTAAAAGCCTCCAGTGACCCCAAAGCCTTCAGGGCCTGTCCAAACTCGCAAGTCTGGAACCAAGACCCACCCACGACAGATAGGACCCTGTTTCCTATCTTCTCCAACTCCATAACCCAGACTTACCAAATCCCAATGTGTCCTCTCATGTCTCTGTGCCTTTGAGTTTCCTTTGTGTCTTGAAATCCTGACTTCCCTTTCTCTACCTGGTGGACTTCTACATATCCTTCAAAGTCCAAATCAAATATCACCTCTAGGAAAGCTTCCCTGACCCCCAGATCAGAACAAACCACTGTCCCTCTGGATCCCCTCAGCACTGTGTACACATCTCTACTGAAGTGTTTTTACAGCACTGTGTTCTTTCGATTTGTACGTTTGTCCCCTACTAAGCTGTAAGCTCCTAAACCACAAAGATCCTGTCTGATTACCTCTATAATCTCAGCATCTGGCACACAGTGTCCAGTAAACAGGAGCTGACTCAGTGAGTGAGTGCTGTCTCAGCAGGCCCTGTGCCTTGGAGGCAGGCATGGAAGCACCATCCCACAGCACCCAGAGGTCCCAGAGGGTAAAGACTGGGTCCCAGATGTGAACAAATCAAAGAAAGAATACTCTGACCTGAGCCTGGGCCCCTGTGCACATGCTTGTCTGGAGCCTGGCCCAGCTCGGAATGGGGAGGAGGCAGTTGCACCTTTATTCAGTCAGCAGCTGAACCACGTGTCAGTTACATCCCTGGCGCCATTAGACCCTGGGCACACACCTGGGCAAAGCAAAGGCATCCAGCTGTTCGCTAAGGAGGGTGGGGCAACATAAGGAAGAACTGCAAATGACACATAGGACTGAGGTGAAGAAATGGAGGAGAAGAAATCATTTGGTGTGGCCTGGGAAAGCCTCTTGGAGGAAGTGACATTTGCGCTCAGATCCGATGAGATCTGAGTGAGGGGAACAGCTGTGTCAGGAATAAGCGGAAGAAACAATCGGAAGAACCCAAATGGAGGGACATTCAGCCAGCCTGTACCCTTTAAAAATGTCTATGCCATGAAAGATAAAGCCAAGGAGCTATTCCAGAATGAAGGAACCCAAGGACACATGACAGCTAAAAGCAATCTGAGCTCCTGGATTGGGATGGGTGTGGGGGTGATGCCACAGAGGGCATGACTGGGACAATGGGACAAAACTGAATGTGGGCTTTATACCAGGTAAATGTATTGATGTCAAGTTTCCTGAATATGATCACCGAACCTGGGTTATATAAAAGAGTGCCCCTGTTCTTAGGAGAGACATGCTGGAGTATTCGGGATAAACGGCCACAGTGTCTGCAACTTACCCTCCAATAGTAGAGTAAAAATTAATGATTGTGATAAGAATTTTGTGTGTGTGTGTTGGAGTCTCACTCTGTCGTCCAGGCTGGAGTGCAGTGGCAGACTAATGGCCACCCCAGCGTCGACCTGTGGGCTCCAGCAAGGCTTCCGTCTCAGCCTTCCAAGTAACTGGAACTACAGGTGCATACCACCACGCCCGGCTAATTTTTTGACTTATTGTAGAGACAAGGTCTTGCCAAGTTGCCCAGGCTGGTCTCGAACCCACAGGCTCAGGCAATCCACTCGCCTCGGCCTCCCAAAGTGCTAGGATTACAGGCTGAGCCACCGAGTGCAGCCAAAGTTTTTTTTTTTTTTTTTTTCAAAGAAAAAAAGAAGGGCATCCCAGGCTGAGGGACCCATAGAGCTTGGCTTGCTTAAGACAGTGGAGCAGTGACCTGAGCAAAGGGAAAGACACAGTTGACAGGGAGACACTGTCTACTGGACGCAGGAGCACAGGTGCTAAACAAACGAGAAGACTCTGCTGGTCCAGGCAAGGGCTAACGGTGGCTCAGAATCAGTGCGTTAGTATGGAGATGGCAAGAGAGGGACGGAGCACAGAATGAGTTCAGAGGCTGTGGCAGTCAGAACTTCTGATGACTTGGATGGTGAGAAAGCAAGAGAAAGGACAGAGTCCAGGACCACTCCAGGTTTTGGGCTGAACCACTGGCTAACGGTGAGGCCATGTACTAAGACCGGGAGACTGGTGGAGTGGCCGGGCAGTGGTGTAGGTCAAGCACTCAGTTTGGGACATATGGGGTTTGAGGGCCCATGAAGCATCCAAGTAGGTCACCACATCCCCAGCACCAAGCTCAGTCAAGCCCGATACGTGAGTGGACTGCAGTGGAGGAGGCGGAGGCAGTGACCATGACCACTGAGCCCCTGTGCCCAGACACCTTCTGGCCTCAGCAGGCTCTGAGGCTCCTGCTCCATGTCCTCCAGCCTCCACCCCTCTCTTCCTCCAACAAGGCAGCAAGTCGCTCCCTGGCTGGAGCTTCAACTCCAACTGATCTCCTGCTGTCCAGGGAAACAGATCTCTGAAGCCCTGGGCCCACACACACCGCAGTGCCTGCCCTTCCTCGTCCCCCAACCGCAACGGCAGTGTCCTAGGGGAAACCTGACCAGTCACCATGGCAACAGCTGAGCCTCGACCTGGAGCCAGCCAGGTACCAGGAGACTGACCACAGGGTGGGGCCAGCCACTGCCCAAAGGGGGGATGCTGATCCACCTACTGCCCCCCAATACTCGGCTCAATCTCCAGAAGTTTCTGGGGAGCTTCTTCAACAGCCGGGTGTGTGGAAAGCCGCAAGAAAGTTCCAAGAAGCCCTGGCTTTCACCCGCCCCCATCTGCATAAATATTTCACTAGGCCGGCCCCTGGGACCCAGAAGAGCAGAAAAGGGAAACTGGTTTGGGGCTGTGCCCTCTCCACCGAAAGCAGCCTCGTGGGCTCTCCAACCCACGCCACCACACTCGGCACACCCCTACTGTCCTAATGCTGCCGCCTCCCGGGGGTGCACAGAGGACTGTCCCGTCCTTGCTAAGGCGGCAGATTAACAACTTGGACGCGGGGATGCAGGCCGCGGGAGGGACTCGGGTCACGGCCGCGGGCGGCTGCAAACCCTCAGGGGCCTCCTCTCGTTCCAGGCCGGCCTCCGGACACAACGGTGCCCAGCGCAGACATCTCGCCGTGGACACCGGTCCTCGGGAAGCCGCA